TTAAGCCACTAAAAGAATGAGATCCTCAGGCAGGCATGGTGGAACATGAATGAAATTCCACCTCTCCAGGAGACTGAAGCAGGAGGATTACGACAAGTTCAAACTCCACTGAGAAAATAGAGAAACTTAGTGAGGTGCTCTTTCAAAGTTAAGATAAATAGATAAATGTCTATGCATGTACCTCAGAGCAAAGGCTCTAGGTTCAATCCCTGATGCCATAAACAAACAGCTCAGAATAAAGTTCTCTTACCTACAGCGATATAGATGGGACTGTAGAACATTGTGTTAGTGAACTAAATCAGGCACAGAAAATACGAACTACTTGTTTTCATTTATATGTGGAAGTTAAAAAGTTGGTCTCATAGCAACATCGTGTTGAATGGGGAAAAACAAAGCATTTTCTCTAAAATCAGAAATGAGCAAATATATTCATTGTCATCACTCTTATACAATATAGTACCTGAAGTTTTAGCCAGATCTACTAGATACGAGAAAGACAAGGGATGTAAATAAGAAAGAAGAAGTCAAATTATTCTTACTTGTAGATGGTATGATCCTGTACTTAGAAGACCCTGAAGACTCCACGAGAAAACTCAGTAGAGTAGCAGGATACCTAATCAACATTCATTAATCCGCATTTTTCTATACACTAATAATGAAATAAGAAATAAGAAGTACAGAAAATAATCTTAGTCATCCTTTCCATTGAGAAAGAATTCAGAAAAAATAATTGTAGTCGTAAGAGCCAAACAAACAACTCAGGAATAAACTTAACCTCTGTAGGGGTAAAACTTCTACAGTGAAAAATGTAGAACACTTAAAGAAAAAGGGCTAAAGAAGATACTAGAAGACAGAAAGGCCTCCATATTAATGGATCATCAGATTATCAATATGGTTCGTTAAAATGGCCATATTACTGAAGGTGACCTACAGATTCAATGCAATCCCAATCAAAATACTACTGTAATTCTTTATGGAACTAGAAAAAAACACCCTTAAATTCCTTTGAAAACCCAAAAGACCGTCAAATGGCTAAAGCATTCCTGAGCACGAAGAGTTATGCTGGAGCTATCACAATGCTTGCTTTCAAAGTGCGCCCGGAAGCCACTGCGGCAAAGCCAGCATGGTGTTGGTGATATCTGGAACAATGGAGTAAAACAGAGGATCCAGAAATAAACTCCTACAGCCACAGGGATCTGATTCACAACAAAAGTGCCAAAAGCATACATGGAATACTAGAAACAGCCTCTTTAAAAAATGATGCTGGAAAGCTGGGTGTGGTGACACATGCCTGTAAACCCAGTGCCCTGAGGTATTGGGGTAGGAAGAGCATAGGCTCGAGCCTAGCCTGGGCAGCACAAGACAGCCAGCCAGCCAGCCAGCCAGCCAGACAGCCAGACAGCCAGACAGACAGACAGACAGAAGAGGCTGGGAATGTAGCCCAGGGCAAAGGCACTGGTTCATTTCCCAGATCCCTAGTACTGAAAAAAAAAGTGCCAGGAAAACTGAATGTCCACATCTAAGAGGTTGAACCTTCAATTCATATTTCTCACTCTATAAAAAAAATCTCATAATGGATTAAAGACCTTAGCAGAAGACCTAAAACTTTGAAGCTGCTAAAGAAAAACTTAGAGAATACGTCCAGATCATAGGGATAAGCAACGACTTTCTGAATAAGAGCCCAATAGCTCTGCAAATAATAGCAAGAAGCAACAAATGGCGTTGAATCAAATTAAAAAGCTTCTGCAGAGCAAAGAAAACAATTATTAAAGAGACAGCCTACAGAATGAGAGTGAATCTTTGCCAGCTACTCTTCCAACAGAGAATTGATATCCTGGAAATAGAAAGAACTCAAAAAACTTAATATCAAAAACCCTCTGCATAATTCAATCAATAAATAGGCAAATGAATTGCACAAACACTTTTCAAAAGAAGATGTACAATGATCAATAATTATATGAAAAAATATTCATCCTTAGCCATCTGGGAAATGCAAATCAAAACTGCATTAAAATTCTGTGTCACCCCAGTCAGAATGGCTATTATTAAGAATATAAAAAAATGTTGGCAAGGATATGGGGGGAAGGAACGCTCCTACACTGTTGGTAGAAATGTAAATTAGCACAACCACTATGGAAACCAGTATGGAGGTTCCTTAAAAAAACTAGAAATAGAGCTATTGTGTAGTCCAGCTCTACCCTCCTTGGTATATAGCTAAGGAATCAAAGTCAGCATGCTATAGGGCTGTCTGTCCGCTCGTGTTTATCACTGCACAAATCACAATAGCTATGGCATGGAAACAGCCCAGGTGACCCTCAGTGGATGAAAGGATAAAGAGAATGTGCTGTATGCACACTTTTTGGGCTAATTTTAACTGCAAATTTAACTGGCTGTGGGGATGCATAAGAGATTAGTAAGAAGGCTTCGGGGTATGTCTGTCTGGGTCATGGGGGCTTGGCCTTGAGGACTGTATTTTGTCCTTGGCCCTGCTTTCTGACTCTTCCTTGCTTGCTTCGCCTCCTGGCTGGTATGAGGTGAGAAGCTATCTTCTACAGTGCCTCTCTGCCAGGATGTTTGGCGTCTGAGCTGGGTAATCACGAACTCAAACCTCCAAACCGGAGGCAAACTGAATGTTAAGTTATGCATGTCAGGCAGTTTTGTTACAGCCACAAAAAGCTGACTAATCTGGGAACTGCTACCATAAATGGGACCATTGCTGGGACTCTCCTGGAAGGCCACAGGGTACAAGAAGCCATTGGAACTAACTGCTCTGTATAAGGAGTCTGGGAAAGTTTGGGGAGTCAGGCTGTAGAAAGCCTGGACTGCTGTATGCAGAGTTTGATGGGTAATTTTGGTTTGAGTTCAGAAGACCAGAATGTTAATGGGACTGTGGAAAGTAAAGACTGCACATGAAATGTCAGATAGGAAACTGAAGCTGACTGGGAACTGAAGTAGAGGCCAGTTATGTCACATTCCGGCAAACAATTTATTTACACTTTGTCCATGTCCTAAGACTGTGTGGGGCTAAATTTAATAGGTGGTGAGCTACTTGATCTAGTTGAGGAAAATCGAAGGCAGCACAGTATTCAGGCTATGGCATGGATATTACTTACTAGGTTAATATTATCCCATAGTTACTGCAGCTTGGTGAGGCCCACACTCTCCCAAATGTTGGGATGCCAAAGGCTAAATAAGAGAGACAAGTCGTATAATTTCAAGGCTCCAGGAGGATAAAACTCTCTCACGGAATTCTAGATTCCCTAGGGGCCAAAACCAAGATCTTCTCTGGGTGGCCCATATTTATTTAAATATCAGAACAAGGGAGGGGAATACTCAATAAAGGTGGGAAACACTCAAGGACTTCTCCAAATAAGCCATTATGTTAATTTAGGAGAGCTATGTTAGCTCCAGGAAGGTCTCCAACCAGAGATGGCTGAAGCTATATTCTTTATCTAGTGGAGGGCGGAGCCATGTGTCTTTAGATCTGACCTTGTCTTATCTTTGGAGGCCTCATGGCTTCCCAGCCTCTTCCAACCTTGCTTTGAGAAGAGATCCTCAAAACATTCTGCTTACTTAGGGCCTCTTAGAGAAGTTTTCTACATGTTCAGCCATTCAGATACTCAGAGGCTGCTGCAGTCATGGTTCAAGGGGTCCCAGCTACTGTGCGCACTGCTGAGAGACCTTGGCACCATCCATACGATGCTGCTTTTTCAGGCATCCAGAATGCAAGAGATGCAGGGCCAGGATGCTTTCCTTCAGATTTCAAAGGCAGGCTGGGATGCTAGACAGTGTGTGGGACGCTGGAACCTCTGCAGACGGCCCCTGAAAAGGTAATGAGTGAGACCCTGGGAGTGAAGCCAAAGGTATAATTGAGTTCCCAGGAAGGTGGAGATGCCAGGAAAATGGTACCTCTGCTGAGGAAAGCTGTAGGGAACAAACAAGCAGAGCCAGCCCAAGAGTCAGGCCATGTGGACTACAAAC